GTTTTTCCCTTGACCCTTTTGTTTTCAGATCTCAACTTCTCTAGTTCAAGTTTAGTACTTTCATGATTGGTCAGTTCGTTATGATAGTTCTTTTTAAGCATATCATTTTCGAGCTTTAACTCTTCTAGAATGTTAGCCAGATTTTTGCATTTTTCTTTATATCCATCAGACTGTTTGCTTAAAATTTCACATTTGATTTTTGCTTCATTATGCTCATCTTTTAGCTTACTGTACTTTACTTTAACCACAGCAAATTCGAGTTGAATACTTCTAATGGTGTTTGTTAAAGGATCATCATCACTGTAATAATCCGATTCACTGAAGTCATGAGGCTTACTTACCTCGGATTGCCTGCTGTGAGGATCGAGTGACAAATCATCAATAGCCATCAAGCAAGCATCTTTCTTGTGAGGAATCTCTTCGTAGTCGTCCTCATCATCTTCACTGCAGCTCCAGGTTGCGGCCATAGCTTTCTCCTTTCTCCAGAGAGGACATTCTGCCTTGATGTGACCCTGTCGTCCACATTTGTAACAACCTGTTTGATTTTTCTCGGTTGAACAATTTTCTTTTCTTGTTTTCTGATTTTGACGATTTGAACCTTGTTTCCTAAATCCTTGATCTTTCTCAGCATCTCTGTCCTTGTATTGATTTGAAAAGTTGTCTCGTCTTCTTTCTTTTCTCATTCTCATGAGCTGCGTTATGCGCTTGTTGAGAATGGCAAGCTCGTCATTGTCCATATCCTCATAGTCGTCTGAGTCTTCCTCATAGGCATGAGTTCTGAATGCTATCCCCTTCCTATCCTTCTTATGTTCTTCATTGTTTTCTCTCTTTAGCTTTTCTTCATAGGTAGCGAGAGAGCCGATGAGTTCATCAACATTCAGAGTACTCAAGTTCTTTGCCTCTTCTATTGCTGTGACCTTAGGATCCCATATTTTTGGTAGAGACCAAAGAATTTTGCGAACAAGGTCTCCGCTTTCGTATGATACTCCCAAGTTCTCAAGACTATTCACAATGTTAGTGAATCTTTCTGACATTTCTCTTATAGATTCTCCATCATCCATCTTAAAGGTTTCGAACTCGGTTTTCAGCATGTTAATCCGAGAAATTTTCACTTGAGAGGTGCCTTCGTATGTTACCTGGAGTTTGTCCCATATCTCCTTTGCAGTTTTGCACCCTGAGACTTTGTGATATTCCTCAGGACCCAGCGAGCAGTACATTAAATTGGTAGCCTTGCAGTTTTGCTGGTATTTCTCGTAATCATCGTCTGTCCACTTGCTTCGATCTTCCTTGAGCTCGAAAGGACCATCGATGACCCGATTCCAGATTTTTGGATCGGTGGAGCCGATAAACAATTCCATGCGATTCTTCCAGTAGCCGTAGTTTACACCTTCGAACCTCGGAGGTCGATTCTGTGAGAACCCATCAGCCAGGTACAGCACGGCACCCTTTCCCGAACCCGACGCCATTTATTCACCTCCGGAGATCGTAGGATCTTATTCGACGGAACCGGGCTCTGATACCACTTATTGGTACGTCGAGCGCGAGACGAATCCCTGCTTTTTCGGTTCGATTCCTATAACTTGATCAACTCGCAGCCTGAAAATACCCAGACGAAACCTCCCGGCAAGAACAAGTGAGAGGGATAATTGGAAATAGGATTTGATCGACACAAAGAGAAGTATCTTCCTTCTTCGTGTTTGCAAAACGACTGCAGATAAGAAGCTTGGTATGATTATGGATTGGGCCTAGCTTTGCTCTCAATTTAACAACTCAAAACCAGCCCAATTCCTTTCCCTTCACGTTGCGTTTCACTAACTTGCTCCAGCCCTTCTCCTCCTTCTTGTTCCTTCGATCAAGAGTGCCCTGCAACAAGACAAACAAATACCCAACGAAGAACACAACAATAATAACAAACCCAGAACTAAAACAGAGTAAGAACAGACGTAACACAGCCACAGAGTTTTTTACGTGGTTTCCAGTGTTAGGTGATTAATAATCCTAACACTGACTAGTCCACGGCCAGTGATTCGCTGTTTGCGATCTCTGGCGTTCCACTATGATGTTTTTCGTTGAAGCTCACAAAGTTACAAAGTCTCTCAAATACCCAGTCGATTAGCTCCCCGCTGAATCGACGAACCTAACCTATCAACTACCCAGCTGATAGAACCTAGGTATTGTCCAATACCTATACCCAGAAATCTCCCCGATTCCTGTGCCGACTTTTCTCTCAAAATCACTCGCAAATCCCCTTTGCACTCTTTGATTTTGTTCTACGCGAAAGTCTATCTAATACAGCACCTCGACTCCTCCTCTTATACTGTGTTTACTGATTGCTTGCTCAACCTTCTTTTCTCGTTTGATTTTGCTTGATTGATTCTTGGATGGTGAATTGATCTTCTTTCCTTCTTCTCTCGAGATGACCGTTGTCTCAATCTTTTATTTCCATTTTTGCCTTCTTCCAGCTGGAGCTGGCTGTACAAGTGTGCGAGACCAACTTGGGTTTGCAGCTCCTTCCTTGTTCATTGACATGCTGTTCCCAACATTATGTATGTGCGTGTTGAAGCGGTGCTATTATGGTGATCTATACAGTGGCGTAGCCAGATTTTGAATGGAACGAGGTCCTTAAAAATTTCGAATTGATTGGGGTCTTTACGTGAGATAATATCGGCGAAAGTCCGGGGTCCTATCTTTCAAGAATCATGTTAAAACGCATATATTTAAATGATTTTGACACCCAAATTTTTGCTAAGTGGGGTCCTACTCCTAGGACCCCTCTCCTCAAAAGCTCCCTCCACCACTGGATCTATATATATATATATTGTCAAGCGTAGGGATTTTCGGTTTGGTTTTGATTTTACGGGTTTAACCGGAATCAAACCAATAAGAAAGTTTACTAGTTTTTGGCGGCTTTTGATTTCAAATCATTCAAACACCTTGATGGTTTTGGTTTCGCTTAAAATCTAGAAACCAATAAAAAATAATCAATAACATCCTAACAAAGTCAATATATATGTCAACAACACTCGTTGCGGACCGGTGAAGCAGGGTGATCCAATGGTAATAAAATCTGGAGGTATGAGATTCGAATCTCTTAAGTAGAAACTAATTAAAAAAAACACGAGTATCACGTTAATTAAAAAAAAACAACACGCGCGTTGTGATCAACTCATGTGCAATTAACTTCTTTCTTATCTTTATATAATTTTCGTTATATTTCTGACTTCATTTTTTACTTTCCAAACTACGGGTTTTTTTTTTTGGTTTATCGAAACCAAACAAAAACTATTAAGGTACGTATCGATTCTATGGTAACAAATAATTGATGAGCCACTTAGCGGGTTTGATTTTTGAGTAATTTACCTGATTTTATTTTTGAACTTTTATACTGCTTAAATGGTTCAGTTAACCTGACCAAACCAAACCCGACAGCCCTGTCAAGTGTTAACTCCATTTTTAACATTCTTTAATTTAATAATTAAACGTAACTCGATTAATTGGAATTCCTCTTATTTGTTAAACAGTACTTCTCACTGGTTTTGTTTCATGGGTGTTTTGCCGACATTGAACGTTCAAAAGCTACATATTTCTATTCATTCATGTTTTTTTTAGTATTTTTACCGGTTTGGCTGGCCAGAACTAGGATTCGATCTGTCCAATGTTTTGTAAAGGTCGGCCGCTACGGTTCTTCCTAGTAAAGCATATTAAAGCCGGCCTTCCACAGCATAAATAAAAGCCGGTAAATGCATGTAGTCCAAAAACCAGATCGTGAAGCGAAGTAGGTTATTCTCTTTTCAATGACGGCAAAATACCCATGAAACAAAGAGAATTAAGGTTTAGGATGAAAAACAGAACATTTAATTAAGCACAAACAACAAAACACAAAATTCTTTGTCCAATTACGTACATAAAAAAAAACACCAATTATATAAATGAAGAAATCCAAGTCTCAAACTCTCTTCCTAGTCGCGCGCACACACATATATATATATATATATATATATATATATATATATATATATATATATATATATATTGCTAATAATCGACTCGAAATCCATTACTCACAAACGAACTCCCAACAAAACTCCAAACAGAAAGAAAGAACAGCCACTCCACTCTGCAGAACATCCATGGCTGCTGGTGCTAAGTTGGCCGCCTTGCTTCCCTTGATAACGTGGAACATCGTCTTTATTCTTCCATGTCCGTATACTACTTTATTTTCCCCCACCCTTTTCAGCCTTGCTCTTAAAAGTTTACGTTTTTATGTTTTTTCAGATCATCAAAATGCTTCTACGTAAAAATCCCGAATCTTATCTCGCATTGCACATACACATGCATGCAGGTATTTTGCTGATCTCGAGCGAATCCAGAACGGTTGCTCCTCCTCCTCCTCCTCGATGGGGGAACGATACCATTCTCCTAACCAATTCTGCTGGTTGGGTCGAGGACAACTGCGACGCGACGTGCAACGACCAGACGTGCAACCAGTATTACCCCGACGAGTGTAAAGGAGTGAGGCCTTCGAGAAAGAGAGATGGAGTGAAGGATGAATACGAGTATTACACATGCTGGGTCGGTTGCTCGTGTCCACAGCATGCGTGCTACTGCTTTTGTAACAAAGACGGCAACAAGAAGTGACTTTTCTGTGTTCTGCATGCATGCATTGCATGCTCACCCAAGAATAATTAAGGACTGATGATCCTACGTACGTACAGGACTCTCTTCGACAGAAATAAACGATGGATGGAGTTTGCTTTTGTTGGGTAAACGTTAAACTTTGTTATGTAATTGTTAATGTTATAAGTGTAATTAGGCTACTGTTATGTGATGTAGAGAGTTATTAGTGGAGTCCACTTGTTAAAGGCCCACACGTAGAGTACCCATGCAGGCCCATAATCATGCTCAGTTAGACGTAGCTTGCTGATTCTAACCTAGGGCATGATACTTATATAGGGTGTAGGGTTTTGGCAGCCGAAGAACACTGTCTCTTAATCATCTCAGTAAAATCAGTAGCTGAAGAGCGTTTGAGCTCTTCCGTGGATTAGTCCTGGAAATCTTCCAGGGATACCACGTTAACTTCGGTGTCTGTGTTTGATTTCATTTCCGTATCGTTATCAATCTGCTTCTGCTTCTGTTAACATGGTATCAGAGCCAACCGCGACTGAATCGGCGAGGCCAGCGGTGCGCCTCACATCAACAAATTATGCTCTCTGGGAATTTCAATTCCGCGTTTTCGTCGAGGGACGGGGATTGCTGGGTATTTTGGAAGGAACCATTCCGCAACCCAATGCTGAATCTGCCACGCCACAGGAGGTGACCTCTTGGATCCAGAATGACGCAAGAATCCGATCATGGCTGCTTGACACGGTTGATCCGTCGACCTGCCTAAGCCTACGGTTGTTTCCTACAGCAAACCGGATGTGGAGACACCTGGCAGGTCTGTATTCAACCACCAATGCCGCAAGACAATTCGAGGTGGAGACTGCTCTAGCACGTCTGCAACAAGGAGATAGATCGATCACTGAGTATTTTAATGCTGCCCAAGAATTATGGACGGAGCAAGACATGATTCATATGGCGCTGCGACCACAAGCCATGTCTGACGATATGATCGCTGAACGTATCCAGTCCCGAGTCATGCAATTTCTTATGAGACTGCGGCCTGAATTTGAGAATATTCGGGCTACTATTCTGAACAGGGATCGGATCACGTTTGATGGCGTGATTAGTAGTTTGGTTCGTGAGGAAACCCGCTTGAGAACTCAAGCCCAATTTGATGTACGACCTGGCGAAGGAGAAACATTCACCGCAACTACCGACTCCTCAACAAGGTCAGGTACAGGATATCGTTCCCATGTTTTGGCTGTGACTCGTCCTCAATTCAATTCTAGGGTACCTAATGCTGAGCTAGAGTGCCATCATTGTCATGAGAAGGGTCATTTGGTCAAGCATTGCCGTCGTCGGAATTACTGTGTATATTGTAAAAGGATGGGGCATATAGTCTTGGAGTGTCGTACTCGTGAGCGTAATGCAGAAAGGTACAATGGCAATCCACTAATGGCAGGTGGTGGACGAGGGCCACAAGGTTACAATGGAAATCCACCACTAGCAGGAGGTGGACGAGGGCCTCAAGGTCGTTCTCGACCTGCATATGTTGTCGAACAAGGAGAATCTAGCGGGTCAGGTGCTGGAAGTATCTCGGCAGCCCAGATAGACCAACTTGTTCAAGCTGTGGCTGCTCTCCAAAACTCCCTTCCCACGGCGATCGGTACGGCGTTGTCCACTTTACAAGGTACGACCAAACTTAAACCATGGTTAATAGATTCAGGATGCTACAATCACATGACTAATGATGGAAGATCACTGCAAAATATTAAATCTATTAGACATATGGGATTAACCGTGGCCAATGGAGATAAAATGGCTGTGACAGGAGTTGGTAAAATCAGCACTCCAAACATATCTTTGTCCCGTACTCTACATGTTCCTGCTTTGGTTCCGAACTTGGTCTCAGTCGGACAACTTACTGAGCAAGGTTGTTCTGTTACGTTTGCTCCTTCTGGCTGTGTGATACAGGACTTGAAGACGGGGAAGCAGATCGGAAGGGGGAGTAAACAGGGGAGGATATTCCACTTGGAGGAGCTTCAAGACAGCTCGAGTTCAGCATCTTCCTCATCGAGTCAGTTATCCAGTAGTCCTTTTGGGTCTAGGTCTGTCAGTAGTCCTTCTCAGTCTTTTGAAACTTCGTCTGTTGTCGGTCCAGTTTTTTCTAGTTTATCAAATAAAGTGTGGGAACTTTGGCATGCCCGTCTGGGGCATCCACACTCTGGGCGTCTCTCTGTTATGTTTAAACAATCTCTCCTAGGAAAGAATGTTGTTGGAACTTCAGCCAAACACTCTTGTACCAGTTGTGTGGAAGCTAAAACATCTACTATTTCCTTTCCCTCAAGCACTACTGTTATAAATGAGCCTTTTCACATCATTCATACTGATCTTTGGGGGCCTTCTCCCACAGTTTCTCGTCTTGGTTTCCGATATTTTGCACTATTTATTGATCATGCCACTCGATATACCTGGATATATTTTCTTCGGCTAAAGTCTGAACTTCGTGTTGTAGCCATTGAATTTCTAAATATGATCCAGACTCAATTTGGTAAAACAGTCAAAATCATTCGGTCTGATCCAGGAGGAGAATTTAGCTCAACTCCTTTACATGATGTATATCGTTCGCGGGGTATTCTTAGTCAAATGTCATGTCCAGGAGTATCTCAACAAAACGGTCTTGTTGAAAGGAAAAATAGACATGTTATGGAACTCACTCGAGCATTGCTCATATCCTCCTCTGTACCTAGTCGTTTTTGGCCTGAGGCTGTAGTTACTGCAGTTCGATTAATCAACTATCAAGTCACTCCTATACTGCAGCATAAGAGTCCTTATTTTGTCCTTTATGGTCATCATCCTGATTACTCTCGATTGAGGGTTTTCGGTTGTCTTTGTTTCGTGCTCCTTCCTAAACGTGAACGTACCAAATTAACTTCTAAAACTGTACGTTGCGTCTTTCTTGGCTATAGTAGTGTGCATAAAGGGTATCTTTGCTATGATCCTACGAGTCAACGTATGAGGATAGCTGTCTCCGTTGTGTTCTTCGAAAATAATTCTTTTTATCCTTCTCAGTCTACTACTGAACTCGAGTTTCCTGGTGGTGGGACAAGCTCTTTACCCATTTTTGATGAAGACGTGGATGATGAATCTTTTCTATCCGATGACCCAGCAATTACTCCTCCCTCTCCGGATCTGCTCACCCACACGTCCAGCACGTCAAGCTCGCCATCAGCTTCCTCTTCGGGATCCAGCGGAGTTAATTCTCCTCCCGCCGTTCCTCTTCCGCTAGCTGAACAGCAGCTCCCTCGGCGCTCACTACGTTCCAACAAGGGAGTCCCTCCTCCCCGAGTAGAGGACTACGTAGCACATGGAGTTAATAATCATATTCTGCCAACTACTTTTAAACAAGCCCATGGTAATCCCATATGGGATAAAGCAATGCAGGAGGAGTTTGGCGCTTTGGAAGCAAACCAAACATGGACAGTGGTTGACAGACCAGATCCATGTCCCCCCACCATCGGCTGTCGATGGATTTATGCCATCAAGGTACTCCCTGATGGATCTATTGAACGTAACAAAGCTCGTCTTGTTGCCCTTGGTTACACACAGGAACATGGGGTGGATTACAACGAGACTTTTGCTCCTGTTGCAAAAATGTCCACTGTTCGAACCTTACTTGCTGTCGCAGCTCTACATAACTGGCCACTTTATCAGCTAGATGTGAAGAATGCCTTCCTCCATGGAGATTTGGAGGAAGTGATATATATGGAGAGGCCTCCTGGTTACACAGTTGGACGTGAGGATCAAGTCTGCTTACTGCATCGATCTCTCTATGGACTCAAACAGGCTCCTCGAGCCTGGTTTGAGAAATTTCAGGCTACTATAGTTCAACTGGGTTATCAACAGAGTCTCAATGATCCCTCACTTTTCACAAAGGTAACTCCTGCTGGCATAGTAGTTCTTCTGCTATATGTAGACGACATGGTTATTACAGGATCAGATACGCAGGGGATCACTCAGCTTAAGGACGGGTTAAAACAGGCCTTTAGTATCAAGGATCTCGGGGATCTTTCTTACTTTCTTGGGTTAGAGGTCAGTCGAGATGATCACGGAATCTTGCTTAGTCAGCGGAAATACATATCTGATTTGCTCACTGATCATAACTTTGATCAGTGTAAACCAGTTAAAACTCCTATGGAAGTTAATCTGAAGCTACAAAAGGATTCTGGAGAACGCCTACGGGATGGTTCACAATATCGCAGCATAGTAGGTAGTCTTATATATCTTTCAGCTACTAGACCTGATATCTCATATGCTGTTCAGATGGTTAGTCAATTCATGACTGAACCCTGTGTGGATCATCTCTCTGCCGTACATAGGATATTGCGGTATCTTCAAGGAACACAGGATGTTGGTATATTGTTTCCTTCCACTGGTACGTCCACGATTACTGCGTATTCAGATTCTGATTTTGCAGGCTGCATTGAAACTCGACGTTCAACTTCAGGGTGGTGTGTTCAGTTTGGGGGTGCTTATATCTCCTGGAGGTGTAAGAAGCAAGACAAGGTCTCCAAATCTTCCACTGAAGCCGAATACCGAGCAATGTCTGAAGTGGCCTCTGAAATGGTGTGGCTTCGCAGGCTGCTGTCCGATTTTGGTGTTTGTTGTCCCACACCTATGGCTTTGCATGTTGACAACACTAGTGCAATCCGTATTGCCGAAAATCCAGTTCTTCACGACCGTACAAAGCATATCGAGATTCATGTGCATTATGTACGTGATCTCATTCGGGATGGTACGGTGAACTTACATCACATTCAGACAGAGGAGCAGGTAGCAGATATGTTCACAAAGGCCTTCTCTACTAGCCGACACTGGTATCTTGGAAACAAATTGATGCTGAGAGATCGGCATCAATTTGGGGGAGGATGTTAATGTTATAAGTGTAATTAGGCTACTGTTATGTGATGTAGAGAGTTATTAGTGGAGTCCACTTGTTAAAGGCCCACACGTAGAGTACCCATGCAGGCCCATAATCATGCTCAGTTAGACGTAGCTTGCTGATTCTAACCTAGGGCATGATACTTATATAGGGTGTAGGGTTTTGGCAGCCGAAGAACACTGTCTCTTAATCATCTCAGTAAAATCAGTAGCTGAAGAGCGTTTGAGCTCTTCCGTGGATTAGTCCTGGAAATCTTCCAGGGATACCACGTTAACTTCGGTGTCTGTGTTTGATTTCATTTCCGTATCGTTATCAATCTGCTTCTGCTTCTGTTAACAGTAATATGCACCTCGATCGTGATGAGATGAGATGAAATAAATAATATATCAGAATTTTTTTGTTTTCGATCCGCCGTATACTCTGAGTTCAACCTTAATATTAATGAATCAATGAAAACCAAATAAAATAACAACAAACACAAAATTCGGACTGAGATGGCACGAAATGACGAGCTACAGATTATAGGAGTGGCTATACGGTCCGGTCCGGTTAAATTGGCGCAAATTGATCCGGTTCAGTCCGGGTTTTTATTTTGAAAATATGAGGACCACAGATTGGATTGGATACAGTCCGGTCTTGACCCGGTCCGGTCCCAATTCGGTCTTGATTTTATATTGACCTTGTGGGGATTTGAGTGGCCTAAGGCCTGCAAGGGTGAGGAGTTGGTTAAGTTTTGTACTAAGTGCGAAGGTTTGTGACCGTTTATGCAAATTACCTTTAAGTTTTGGGTGTTTAGCTCTCTTATCCGATCCCGAATGGTTTTTTACCTCAAATCTAAGCCCAAAAATTGAATTGGATTGTTTACTATCCTGAATGGTTATACGGTCCGATTTCGGATAAAACAAAAAAACCCGGACCAAATAGCCAGCCCTACTAGAGATGGTAAAAAAATGACCTAATGTTTTGGTATTGTTTAAACTCAATTTAATATAGGCAAGATCAAATTTGGATAATTTTGCTTTTGGGCATATATCCGTACCCAATTTTGTAGTTCGAGTATAAATTGACGCATAGTATTGGCAGTAAAAAAAAGAAAATGGGTACCAATTATAATGAAATTTGTTTTCTTATTTTTTGTTATGGAGTAAATAGCAAGGCGGGAAGACTTACATATAATTGGGTTGAATGTAGTTAATGAAATGATTAATATTGTTTTTATACAATTATCTAAAAACCAAATAAATTGACCCAAATCAAACAGAAAAATATTAAAAGTACATGTGAGTCTATTTTGAATCCGACCCAATAATCATATGAGTAATTATAATTGAGTCAAATTACACAATAAGCGATTATCATTATCAAATCTATTTCGAGCCAAGGAAACACCGTTGTGACAACTCGTCGCTAAAAACACTAAAAGTGCGTCCCATAATCCCTTTGCCCACCAGACTTTCCCTTCTATATTTGGTTGTCGAAACCCATCAATTCTGTGACGGACCTGGACAAAACTATTGCAACCAAAACAAGGATACAACTTCTTCCTGTCTTCAGGAAATCAAACTATATCTTAGCACATGCAGTAACATAAAGTATCCGTACAGGAGCAACCCACGTAGCAATAACGATGGTGGTATTTTCTACTTCCATGGTGGAAATAAATTATCGAGATCATCATCGCGAGTCTTCTTGCACAAATCTGGGTAATAATAAGCACAATTGTCGTTGTTGCACGTCTCGTCGCAGTCGTCTTGTACCGAAGAAGTTGTGTTACTGCTGGATGATGTTGTTGCTGCTGCTGCTTGAGGTGTGATCATCATCACACCCGTTCCTCTTTTCGGTACCGAGGGCAACCTCCTGATCTCCTCGTTCCTGAGGGAAGAAAAAATTTCTTTCGTTTTAACTCGAATTTTCAAATTTAAGAAAAAAAAAAAAGATAGTACTGGAGCCAACGATCGATCGAGCTGGATGATGAGATGATGGTGATGATGGGAAGCAAGACGGCCAACTTAGCAACAGCACTGATCATGGGGATCGCCATGGCTAGCTATATCGTAGTTCTAATTTTTTTTTTTGATAATGGCGATAAACTTTTATTGCTAGAAGAAAACGGAAAGAGAACAAAGGACTATACACGCAGAGGAGATCACAAGGACTGATCTCACAGTGCAAAGAACAAAACGAAAAGAAACAAAAGATACAAAAACCGACAAAGAAAAGCGGACCAAGTGTCCTGGCCACGAAAGAAGGACAAGACCAAAGCCAAATGGACACCATTGCGGACCAAGAGAAAGGCATTCAAATCAGGCCAAAATGCCAAAATAACACCCCAAACCCGCAACAACAATCCACAAACGACACGCACTCCTCAGCCTCTACCCGTCCTCCAAAACCTACAGACGTCACGAAATCTCCACAGCAGCTC